GCCAGTGCCGTAACCACTGTGCTATGGGTGCCGAGCCTCCTTGTTACTATTCCTTAACAGTGATCAAAAGATAAAATATTTGTCATGAAAGAAAAACATGGCATTTTTTTTGTTTGAAATGGTATATAGTATCAGATCCTGGTATTTTTGGTTTTTTCCTTAGAGGAAGGATCTGCCCTTCTTTATGTATCTAAAGGCAAAATATCTGATATGTTTTTAAGAAGTTAAGGAACAGGTATATACCATTCTCATTATTAATCGTTTCCCCTTTCCCCATGGGGATACAATCTAAGCCCCCCCAAAATGGCTGCCTGGAACTTCAGATAACACTGAACCCTGTATATTCTGTTTTTCACTATACTTTTTTTAAATTTATAAATTAGGCATAGTAAGAGATTAATAAAAATAATACAATATAACAGCTAAAACATTTTACTACAATAAAAGTTAGGTGACTGTGGTCTCTCTCTTTCTCTCTCTAAATATCATACTATAGTCTTCTATTTTTGAAACATGGTTGACAGCAGAAAACAAAACTATGGGTAAGGGTGGGACTATTATATTTATTATTTAATTTGAGGCTCATTAGAAATTACCTTTAATCAGTGCCAGATGCCTGAGTTTATTCTCTTTCCATTTGTCATCTCTCAGGATTAGAAATATTGCAAGAAAAACCAAAGGCAGTTTTTTAAAAAAAATGGCCTTTAATGAAAAATATTGTATCTTTGAAACATGATTTGTATGTTCAGCAAGTCTTAAGCTTCCCAATGTTAAATGCTCTCATGTTTAATATTGCATTTTTATTTGCAAACACAGCAAACAAATCTTGCTTTACTTCACAGTAATGTTTATGATGCTGACATCCTCATAGGGCTTGTCTGTTTTGGGGTTGACTTTGACATTGGAGATCCTCTGCACGACTTCCATCCCCTTAGTCACACGTCCAAATACTGTGTGCTTATTATCAAGCCAGGGCTGTGTGAAAGGACAGAAGGGAAATCTGAGTGAGCACCTTAAGTTAACACAAATTGAAATTTATGCTTCATTTTATTAGATATTTAAAGGGAAGTACAATAATTTCTTAACAATAAAAAGCTTTAAAAAGTTATCACTTTATATGATAAAATATAGAAATGTAGAATGTTTTAAATAAATATCTACATCTTTCGGACCAAGAGAGCTGGAAGATGTTTCCTAAAGGTAAGTTACTTGACATGGTTTAAAGGATTGTGGCTAAGGTTTTTAAACATCTGCAGGAATCTTGCCTGAACAATTCAGGTGCAGCTTAGAATAGTTCAGGCAGCATGTACTTTGTTTGGCATTAGACAGATGGAAGTTCAAATGCTGGCTGCCTCTGCTACTTATTTGATCTTTGACAAGTTCAGCCCGTCTACATGTTTCCTTGTCTATTACTGAAAACTAGGGATAATAATACTATAAGTATTATGACTATTACATGAGATTATATGCTTGGCAAATAGTAGTTATATTTTTCTTACACTGCTTGATGTATAATTCCCCAAAAAAGTGTATAATTTTTATAATTTTGTAAAACTACATAGCAATAGAGTTAGATCTTATACTGTATTTCATCAAATCTAAAATACCATTGATTATGACTTATAGTCTGATTTCAGAGATATTAAAATGTTGAAAAAAGGTCTTAAACTTCAGAATTCATTTATATTCTATTTCTTCCATTCTAAAGATGAGGAAACAGACTCACAGAGCCACAATAATTTGTTAGAAGTTGTACAGTCAGTAGTGAATGGAAGACTTGACTTAAAACTCACATATCTTGAATCACGATATATTATACTTCCCAATACAATGAAACTATTATTTTCCCAAGTCTGAACTGATTTGTTATGTAATTTAATATTTTCTTCTCTAAATTATTCTCATTTTATATCCTAGCAGATATGAGTAATTCAGAGACTAGAGAAACAGCTCTAGTTTCCCCTGAATTCACTCTCTTAGATCATAACCTACAAAACTGTGGTGTACAATGATATACTTACTGTTGGTACTACTGTTACGAAAAACTGGGATCCATTAGTATTTGGTCCAGCATTGGCCATGCTGAGTGTATATGGTCTGTCGTGTCGTAATGTTGAATGAAATTCATCTTCAAATTCTCCTCCCCATATGCTTTCTCCTCCCATACCAGTACCTGTTGGATCTCCTGTCTGAATCATGAAGCCCTTAACAGAAAAGTACACAAAAGCATTTTATATTGTCCTTTTCTATATACATACATGCTCTATAGTGTTATGTTATTTCTGTCAAGAGTGCTTTATATTCAGTGAAATATTAACTTGCTTAACAGTCACTCTATAGAAGGAGTTGATTTAATCCTTACATTTAAATTTGGATGATATATTTCCAATGCTCAACCAGCACCTTATATTTACTGATTGAAACAAAAATG